GTCAGACGGTTATTCCAATGCATACAGATCGTATTCACTTCAATCTCTCCCAATCCCTTTTAGATGTAAACGCTCTTGACGCGCTGGGTAACACACCCGTGCATCTAGCTGTCCGAGCCTGTCGGGTGGATATCTTAGACCTTCTGATATCTAATGGGGCAAGACTGACGGTATCTAACAGAGACGGACTGCAACCGGTGCATCTTGCCTCCGAACTCGCCTTTGTTGCCGGTCTTAAAGTAAGATTCATTCATCTCTGTTAGTGCACTTTGTAATGTTCCGGATGAAAGTAACGATTAGATTATATTTTTACCTAATTATCTGTTCTTGAAAAAGACTCAAGAGAATCGCAATCCTTGGTGACATACGCTCATTTATTTATTGAGTTGATGCCAAAGGCAAACTGAGCTGAATCCCATCTAAATCCTTCCTGTATAGTATTCTTATATATTTCATATCTCTCATATCGCATATCTCATTAAAACCAAAGTATTTTGCAAATTAGCGTATTTCTCAAATTGCGTATAATTTGGGTGCAAGTGGAACAAAAGGCTGACGGAAGCTTGAGGATTGAACCTACCTTATGAGCCCTTGTGGAGCAAAACCGGTCTTGATGTATCCAAGAGCTTTCAGCGACCGTGTCTTTGAAATCTCCCAACCAAAGCCCTATTCCTGGAAAACCTATAGTAGTCCCCGGCATTCCCTGCACACAAAATCCACCAACAATTTTTGCTTTTTCGGATTTTTGAGTGTACCGATCTACGTGTTTGTCCTAAAGTGAGTGAATGGTACCAATGTAATGAATGAGATCACGACCAACTTACCAGAAAGTCAGGATGTAATATTTACAGCGTACGAAGAAAATGCTACCTTTCTGCTTAAATCGGTAGCCAATAAAGGCACATATTAGGTGATTTCGACAACTGAGAATACTGTCTAGTGTCTATAACTGAGCATCATGAACAGGCAATTGTTGATCGTTCTGTACTCGCTGAGCGCAACCGATAACAATATCTGCATCTAATTTGAGCTTTATTCTGGGCCTGTTCGCCAAAAATGCGATGGCTACATACCACTAAATGAGAAAATAAATCACATCATGGCAGTTATTTTAACCAGTCTTGGTAGTGCCCTTCTAATACCTTGCCAGTGAAGTAAAGCCCTGTTAAAAGGGGCAACTGAGTGCACACCCATTTGTGGGGAATATTGTCAATCCGTCGTGACAGGAAAACCAAAATGCAGGGTTTGTCCGAGACAGTTTGACTTCATCATCGCGTACGCTTTCCGAATCAACTTGTCTCCACTCGTTTAGTATGACATTCCTAGTTGATACCCTTCGCATGGCCGAACACTAGCTTAAGGGATAACAGATATTGACTTGTATAACCGATCCGTCGTGACTGGAAAACCAAAATGCAGGGTTTGTCTGGGACAGTTTGCCTTCATCATCGCGTACGCTTACCGAATCAACTTGTCTCCACCCGTTTACTATGACATTCCTAGTTGATATCCTTCGCATGGCCGAACACTAGCTCAAGGGATAACAGATATTGACTTGTATAACCCGGGTATTCCATGAGACAAAGTGAATATAAAGTAGCCTTCAACTGAGGCATTCATATGTGCATTTATAATTTGATGTTATTCCGATTAATCAGGAACTTTAGGCCAATCGGTTCACATCAGTTGTGACTGGTCATTGTCTGTTGACGTGAAGGAGGATGGTTGAATTTCTTGGTCATTGTAGGAAGTTTTGGAGCATGTAGGGAGTGTCGCTTGGTCGGTGTTTCATCATAAAGGAGTAGCGCTGAAATTCTACTGAATCACTCATGCATATAAAAGTTCTGACGCAAATGGTAACCGTTCATAGTTCCACCGTACACGAGGGCGAACACAACTAATGCGTTTGTAAAATTGGCACTGAAATGAACGTCACAAACATATCTGGCAGAACCAATCGGCTATTCCCTCTCATATGGAACCATCTAGTAAAAACGTTCGTAAACCGTTATTAGGTTTCTCATTTCGAGCACCAGATCACTAAAACAAGATATTGTGAATTTTGTACATTAATTCAACTGTTGAAACATTTGTTGAACTGAGTGGACAACATGGTTAAAATTACTGAGTAGTTTTTCATCTTAAATGAAGCCCGGGCGAATCCGAATGCTTTCAGACGAAAGGGTGAATCAGTTCGCAATAAAGGCTTGTTGCGATGAAATCATCGTTACTTAGTCTAATGCATTACTGTGTGAATTCCAACAGTTGGTGAATCTTTCAGAAACTGATATTTAAGTATTTCAGTGGTTGTATTATATTTAAAATAATTTAAACTGATTATAGTGGAAACTACTCAAAATGTTGCTGAAAACTCTTCGACAGCCCACGACCGAGGTGTTTTTGTGGTTTGTCAGATTGAAATTGTTTTGTTCCCAGTTGAGAAGCTGCCGTCAGTGTGTGTGTCCTCTGGAGTACTGAAGGATCCCATTAACTCGGCTGGTTCCGTTTGAAAAGTGCGATTCACAGGAACTGTCTCGCATGTGTTCTGCATTTGAGTAACATTACATTTTTGGCCAAACGCAAGCACTACTCAGAATACTCAGAACATATGACGTGTCTCATCATTGCTAGGGGAATCAACATCATCGACAGCATGACATCAGTGACCAGCACTGGTGCTTCACTACCGTACAACCATGATTTATTTGGAAGCCTTATCCTTATGTTCTAAATGAAACCCAAATTTGTTAAACTGTTTATATTTAAATGTTACTCGAAGTTATAAATTAACATTCCTCCCAGTTACCCCTTTTATAATCTTCTAATGCTGAACGGTAGACGAAACCACCAGGTTCAACACTGAGTCCGACGCCAGCATTCAGGGATTTGCTGCAACGTAGTTTTAAACATCAATTGGTTTTAATCAAACTTCTGTCAGCGCAAACGTCCTGAGATTGGCGATAGCAATTATCAAAAAGCCCATGGTTGTTACAAACAGTAATATATTGTTCTGAGGTCAGTATTCGACTACTATGTTTTTGTCACTGCCACTATGTTTGCGTCAGCTTTTTACGTCAGTGTATGCTATATGCAACCGTGGATATGTAACAACTGTTTGTCCGTTTATTGGTCCTCTAACGTTGTCATGCTATTTATCTAGCCTATTATACCCCACAGCACCCAAGTGCTTGTTTTCATGAAGGTTGTTTCGTAAGCCTTAAAAGACGTTCGCTATATTTTCAACCTTTCAGAGGCTCCTGACTTACAAAGACGTCGAAGTGGATGCACTCGATGAACGAGGCTCTACTCCATTGTATCACTGTTCTTTGCAGGATAGCGACGAATGCGTGCGAATCTTGGTAAGCATCTTATTCAGCTGAATATTTTCACCGAGTTACGCATGTGAGGTATAAAACATTTAATGTTGCTTCGCAACTCAGTTCTGGATACTGGTAAAGATTATGGGTGGAAGGCTGACAATAGGAATTCTGGGTCACACGTAATCAGTGGAGGCAATAAGAGTAGAGCCAGTAACAACACCATACCTTTGGGTGCAGACCACTTTGATACTGGACGTTCCATGACCACAGCATCTATCCAGATTTGGAGTGGGGTGGCATTCCAAAGACCGACCGACGACCTGAAAGTAGTCCTCTTTATCCAAACTATTCGTCGTATCGGTCATTCGCCGACCTAATGAAAAATTATGGAGGATACTGCCCCATGTGTACGGACAGCGGACGATTTGTTCCAAGTAAATAGACGGTTCCACTTGTATATTCCTATTTGTTTATACAGTGTGAGGTGAAAAGGGTTGACAGGCGGCAGTGACAGTCCCGTCATTTTGAACAGATGCACCAGTTCAGCAGCAATAAAAATGCTTCGCGTCACACTCTGAAGTTTATGGTAGATTCAATTCTCGGTTTCATCGTCTCCAAATGCCAGTCCACTGTACGCTTTCTTTCTTGCAGAGAACAAATAAGTTCGTTTGAATTGGACAGTGGCGAGTACCCCCTTATAAAAGCTTCAGGACCCCACCCTTGTCTTAAGGCCTCCATACAGAGAATGAAGATTCTGGCTCCATTTACCCGAGTGAATAATCGCGCATAATTGCCTACTTATGACTAACCGGCACAAGGCTCTTTAAATTTATCTGCATAAGGCTGGTTCGTGATAAACTATACCGAGTGTGTATCCATTTGAAGTTTGTCAAAGCTGACCATTCAAAATGCAGAGGAGTTCCAGTGCATGCTCGATGCGTTTGTGTCACCTATATGTAGTCCGTAAAAGTAAGTTTCTGATGCCGTCACTCCCTCTGTTCTCAAGAGTTGTCACGAAAATATCAGCAAAATAAGAGCTAATGGACCGTCCATCATTATACCATCTATCTGCTTATGGAGCTGTCAATCAGATGGCCATAGGCGTATTGTGATAAGGTTACATATCAAATCAGTGCTTTCTTTCAGACTGACAGCCGTACATCAGGAGACACTATATGTTCACCAAAAATAATAATGTCTTCAACCCGTGTCGATGTAGGTGAGATGCAATGAACGCTGTCTAATGGGCTACCCAACATTTATCAAGCAATTAACTCATAGTATTGGGGTTTACTTGTGTGATCAAAAGATTCGCCCAGAGTTGAAGACTGCTTTATAGAATTTGGGTTGTCCGTACAGCCATGCCTATCGTCTTCAATGCGCCATTTAGCTTTGAAAACAGTAATTTCGGCTATAAGACTTTTTAGTAGACTACTTACATGTACCTCCAAATTGACCGAGCTCTATCAGGTGACAATCTCAATCATGGACTTTGTACTGTCTTCCAGGTTTACGTTCACTGTTTTGTCTCACCAAAATGTACTAAATCCTTTGTCTGGACACAGGACGACAATAACTCTGCTGACTTGTAACTGATGTAACTGATGTGGTATTACCTGGTGGTTACCAGTCTAACCGACCTTACTGGGTGATCGGTGATGTGCGGTTTCGGGATTTTAATTCACGTAAAGAGTCAGACTAAGCTGGTAGGTCCTTCATCTGATTGTTTAGTTTTCATACTATGTTTCAACCCCAATAATCTCCTGTTGGCCCTTTGAAACTCAAGTTGAATACCTTGTGTTAAACGCTTGATCTGTACTCTACGGAGAGGCACAGATTATGAGATATGTGCATAGTTCTCAGCGTTGGAAGGGCATGGTCGTAATGGTGGTTGCAAAGTGAGCAATGTCTTTTATCGTGAGCTCAGCTGAAACTATCAAACAATTTAAGACCGTTTCGTTCAACCTGTTGGACTGAGATCATGGAATAAATTGACGGAGGTAGATAATAACTTAGCAAACATTTTTCTTGTGAAATTCGAATTTGACTTGTTCAACCGCCTTAAATGTCACCAGCAACTTCTGATGCACATTCGCCGTGAAGGTTTAAGAAACCGTTTGAGGAAGTTTCTAAGCTGAAGATAACTGACACAAAACCTACCTAACACCATATTTCTGACTCAAAGAAGCCTAGCCCTTTAGACACATAGTAATCATCATTCTAGGGGTTGTCAAGCGTCAACTCTCAGTCAAAAACTGAAAACATACGTAAAGAGCACAACACATTCTGATGTAACTGCACCAAAGTGATACGGTGAGGATAGGATTATCACTAATTACCATTGAATATCATCACTGATGTGTAAAACATCAGATGCATCCCTCTCACTTACCGCCCATTCTTGACAGTTGGACCGCGGAGCTAACATTTATCACAAAAACGCATTCGGGAGCTCCGTTCTTCATGAAGCCATATTACAACATGCAGTCAAATGCGTCCACTTATTGTTCGAGCATGAAATCGTAAAATGCTTGCAAGATGGTTTAAAACAAACAAAGAGGTCATCATCCAGTCTAATGGCAGTTGACCCAGTCGATCAGAAAAAGTCAACAAGCCTGCTAAGTCGACTTGGTGATTGGATCGGTGTAGGAAATCCTTCTTCCCGTCGGTCTAGTACCTTCTCAACTTCATCTGAGCCAACGTCTACGTCTTCGCTGATCAATCTTGTAGATGACGAAGGATTCTCTCCTATTCACGTGGCCGTAAACACGGGGAATATGGAGTTGGTAAAAGTGAGTTATTTTTGAACGCACTGTTTTTGTCCAGTGAATCTGGATGTTTTAAGAAGCCCAGATATCGATACTTCGCCCTCCAAAAGAGAGAAGTCTAACTTTTAAATCGTTAGCACACTGTGTGGTTGGGAGTCGTGTGCTTCATCCATCGTAAGAATCCCTAGAATTGCTTAAAATTGGATCCTCCTACTTGATAGGCGATAATCATACCATTCAGTAACTATAGTGTTATTAGTGTTATTAGCTTACAATTTTACAGTAGGTAAGGCCACTAACCCTCGACCATGTAACTCAAGTCACATGATCCGGAGATCACTGGCTCTTCGAACCAAGACCTTGGTGATAGAATGCCCATGAAATGTGTGATACGTTTTTCCAGGAACTTCTCTGATCCTGTGTATGTAACTAACACAACTATTTTCGTCAACAGGAGTGTGCGACATTAGGCTTTTGGGATCCTTGCATTCTTCCACCTTCTCCAACCGAACAGTTTTTCAGTGCTAAGGAGAAGGTTTATTTAATTCGACGATATCAGCTCATTATAAACAATTTTTTCTGTAGATTTATCGATTTTATGCAACCTCTTCCATCAAATACGGCACCAGAGCCAAACTAGATGTTTTAAACATCTGTAATCTATTGCCCTAAAAGGTTTCGTCCCCTATTTCTAAAGCAGTCCGAGCAGAAGAAGGCTACATTCTTAAAATAAGAATCCACTTGTGTAGATAAACGCAGAATCCAGTCTACTGATGCCTTTAAAACAAAATTGCAGTGATTTGTAATAAGCCAGTTTTTATCCCCGAAGTGATTCGTTCCAGTTTCTTCAAACAACACTGCTCAGGACACTTTCAATCAAGCTCGAGGAAAAAACTCACGAAACAAGCGCTATCCACTAGTAATAATTTGCAAAGAACAGAAGTGACTTTTCTATAATAGTTGTGTCGGTAGTTTTTCTCAACAACTTTCTGGTCCTTCAGATGTGCTGCATTATCTATACTGGGTTTTAGTACCGGGATCATAGCCTGAGTAGATTCATCTCTGGTGCCATATCGACTACAAGAAATGCACGTCGCCGAATGGACGATAGATCTTTGAACTTGTCTATAGCGCATTACTTAGCCTCCAAGTAACTCCATAAATGAACAAGTTTGAGGGAACAGTTTTCGAGACCATTCTCACCCAGTACAATCCCTCCTAGGGAAGATGATCCCCAGAACCGTAAAGCAGGCGATTTCAGATTCTTTCAATTATTTATTCCTTTTTTAAAACAAGAAATCACCTGTTTTATTTAGTGTCCTCGAACAGACCAACCAAGTATGCCTCGCTGGCTTCCAGTAGAGCTGAGACAGTCGGCTCTGGAATCCTAGGTTGGTCTTGAAATCTTGAGCTAATCCCTCACCAGGCGTTGGAAAGGCGGTTTACGGATCAGCAGTTCGGTGGACTTCTGGTAGCGGCGGAGCTCACGAAGAGCGACGGTCCCAGGCCTATAGCGATGGGGCTTCTTCACACCGCCTTGGTCGCGAGCTGCTTCCTCGGGGCATTCCCACCAGTACTCTTGCGGGCAGTTTGCTTGGTGCGTGCCATGTCTGTGGCTAGATAACCAGCTAAGCTAAGACACCGCTATTTCATACAATATCAAATTCTTTTGTGACTGGAGCGGATCTAAATCAATCAACAGACTGGTAGTTGATACAAATGCCGTACATAAAAACTTATTCCTAATGGCCTAAATGATAGGTTTCAACAACCATCGCGCAAGCCCCAGATGTGTGAGAATATATAGCGTTCAAAACATTCAAAGCATTTCAGAAAAAAATAGGTCCTAGCTAGACTCTCCAAGAGCCTGCCTGGAGATACTCAGATACAAATGAACCTTTATCACATCACTACAGAAAGTATGGATGCAAGGCAACATCTTGGAACTTCTTCAAGCTGTATCCTAGAGAAGTGGAAACTCCATGAGAAACTTCGAAGTGCGATTAGTTACCATCTGATGAAATTCGATCTATTACAGGCTACTATCCCTGCCAGCGTGTGAGATGCTGGATTTGCGGAGTTGCATATATTGCTCGTTATCAATCGTGCACGAAGCGTAAGCAATGGACACTCAAGCACGCGGGTTCTAAGCCATCGAGCAAACAAGTGTGACAAGCATTCGGGTGACAGAAAGTTTATCCTGGGTGATCTCACCCTCAAATCAAAGGGCAATAGGATCTTTAGTACGGAACTCGTTTGGTGTCACCGTATTCACATTATCTTATATTATTATATTTAGATGTGGTCTTATTGACCAAGAACTGACACTAAATGTCTCACTTTACCTGCTAGCTCTTGCCTTGGTAAACCAAATTTTCCAACACCGTTAAAGAGAAAGTGCTTTCTAAGCCTCTTTCGTCTGAAAAGAAGTGATGAGATTTTTACCTTCGGTGGTTTTATGTGTTCAGGCCTTAAAGTTTTATGGTGAACCGTGCACTATTTGCAGGCTTGTCTTGACCGAGGAGCCAATGTTCTGGCACAGGATCATGCCGGTCAAACCCCTTTACATTACGCCTGCACACGTGGAGACCTGGATTGTGCGAAGGCATTGCTTGAATTTCATCCCAAGTACAAAGCACGCATGATCAGTGCGGTGAATCGTGATGGCCGAGGTCCGATTCATTTGGCTGCAATGTATGACCATCCGACCCTTATTGATTATCTACTCAGTCAAGTAAGTAAATTTCCATGTTAGAATCAAGATCGTTCGAGATAACATGCGCCTGAGATTGGTTTGGCAGTTACTAGCGCAACGTTCACAATAATCTACCTTATAAAACACGTTATTCACATTTTCGCACTTCTCTTATGATGTCATAGGCATAGGAGTTCGGTCTCCAGTCCGATACTGTACACAATTGTTCCACAAATCAGTGAATAAGCCACACGGGTCGTATGTGGTGAACAGACTGAGGGGTTCGCAGGGCAAGAGTTGTCCCGTGACAATGTGCAATGTGCAATGGCGTCATTGGTCTCTGGGGTACAAATGTCAAAAACACTCGAAAATTTGAAATATATGCAGAAGCATTGTGATTTGAATGAAAGTTTTTCCATGGATGATAAAAGACGTTCAAAAATTTATCGGACTTCGCAAACATAACAGCTGGTTTTATCCTCAAACATCCTCTTGCAGCTGGCACGCTACAAAGATAAAGTGAATCGAGCTGCACCTGCTTAAAATTCTGCATTATTCTTCGGAAACATTTTTTCAGAATACTAGCATTCAGCTAAATGATAAAAAATCAAGCAGGGATTTTGTTCAAAATGCAGAGAAATTTGTTGCTTTTGTGCAATTTCCCGACTTTCGGAAGCTGCGGTATCCCTGAACTCTTGCAGACCACGAAAGATGACGAAAATCCTTATCTCCGGACACTAATACTCCATTGTGTACTCCATTGTGGAACATCTGGGAAATAATCTATCTTTCCCAGTATGTCCGTTATTAGACTCAATTCAAAGCCCTAACTATGCGGATGGAATCGAAAGCGCTTGTTTTTAAAAGACTTTAGGAGAGACATTTTCGGTCCATTTTGGGTGGGGCTTTGCTTAGTGCTGACTTTTGAGCTTCTCAGGTAACCAGTATCTTTTTTTAGATACATTGAGCTTTTGAGCGATTTTTGTTTCTTCAGTCTTTCTAAAATACAACTCCATTGCCCCAAAGGCCTCCTAGTGATGTCACCGGCCTGTACTAGACTGCATCGATTGGCTTATTCTAACTAGCAACTTAAGCTTTAATTCACTCCGATGGCTCAAAAGCTTGATCCTTGTGTGGCCGAGCCTTCATCCAGGAACTGTTTGCGATGGACCAGATGAAGTAGAAATATGGAATGGATGAGAAAGTTTATCTCTCCCTCATTAATCTGAAGTGATGTGCTATCTGCGTGGAGACAGTATCGACACACTTGCTCTTTCGAATCCGATGGTTCCCGTCACAGATGCATTGATATGTTCTCGCCCCAGACTCTGTTGCTGACCTAGCGTTCTTAATACATACATGTATGTACACGTATATGGAAATATACGAACAGCGATTGTTATCACTTTATTGCAACGTTCCAAAAAAAGACGCGAGTTTGTCGTCATACAAGTAACCCTGGAGTAACTGTACTTATGCCGCTGATTGCAGGCCACCATTTGTCAAAGTATCTATCTCTTGCAACTGGTTTACTGTGCGGGTCCATAGTAATGCGTTAACAGGGCGAGTTATGAGGTAGCGTTGTCTCTACTATTGGCCCTTCCAGTTTTTTGTTGGCCCCGGCAACCTTGTTTACATGCCTTGTGCCACATGCAACTATGACTTCGGCAGTGCCACAAATAGGAGTGTGGGTTAGCCCGTCGGTAAGTATGCTTCGGAAGACGTGTTTTGAATTGCTTCTTTGTCTCACATTCACAACGGTGAATGAGGTAAACAGATCCGTTGAGATCTCTTAGCGTAAGAATTTTAATGCGCATCACAACCGTCTACCGGAAACCAGCCACACTACTTGAAACACCTGAGTGTCCGGACAGTGTTTGGACCATTGGATATCGGCTTTTAGTGATGACAATACAGAGGGTTTTCGCGAATCTGAGTGTGCTACTGGAGGTAATCTTGTGGATCCGGCGCACACTCCAAGGGACAAGGTCGGCGAACAGACTACCAGAGGCCTGTCAACAACCATTAGCCAGCTTGTGTACGATAGGGCTTACAATGAGCTCGAGTACCCCACTAACCAACCAGGTACCAGTGTCATAGGTCAATTCCTTGGCGTTCCGGTATTATATCACAATTCCCCTGCTCAGTACTAAACAACCTAATCCGCAGAGTGCCATATCTAAACAGGCGACACATGTGCAATGCGGTCATGGGTTCATCTGCTGGGAGCTGCAACGCGAGTGATAGTAGTTCTCCCTAGAATAGGTAACGTCATCAGTGCTTACTAGATCGACGTTGCTTATTTGTTTTGTGGTATTTCTGTCCGAATTCTGTCTCTCTATGGTAAATTCAGTCTTTTTCGACCTCCTAGACTATTCTCAAGCCGCCGAAGTGGAAGACGTCCGAGAATACGGTCGGGTGCCATATCTTCACTTGGCCGGATCTGAGTACCTGGCTGTCATTCAGGGTGATGTATCATTACCCCCTGAAGAACTTGAGCACTATGAAACCTTACTGATAACTGCATGCGCATAATCATACAGCAGACACTGAAGATGAAATCAATGGGGGATTCCTGTATGACAGTAATTTGTTTGTTTCTGGATAAAAGTGTAGATCATAAGAAAACAGGTCACAACGCGATTTGCGTTCACTGACGGCTGGTGATTCTTTTCAATACTCATAAGTATAACTTTGTGTCGCTCCTTGACCAGTGGTTTGAATGCTGCCGTAATAGCGGACGTCTGAACAGCAATCTATCCCATTACCCTTCCCCCAGTGACTGGCAAGTTCAGGTGGTCCCAAGGACTGGCTGATGAGGAGTAAATGTTTTGCAAATAATTATATTTAAACAGAAAATTTGTACTGCCACGTCGAATGCTGCCACATAGGACCGTACCAAGTAAAAACTGCTGGTATCAGAAAGCGCCATCCGAATGTTTGAGTGATTTGGTATTCTTTTGCCTAGGAAGCGTTTCGAATTGAACGAGTGACCATTTAGATAACGCTGACTGGCCGCAACATACCCTGAATTCCGACAAGCCTTCACATGCAATGCAGTTAGATACAAACTCAGTAATATAAGTGACGTAAAACAGCCGTATCTGACTATTTATCGGTGTCGAAATCAGCTGGCATAATTACACAGAGTGAAAAGATTAAACCAGCATGGAAAAGTCTATTTAGGAAGTTCATCCTCTGAATAGCGATCCGCAATGCACCTTTATTTACCGAGTCAGTCTCTTTAAAGGTAAACATATAGGTCGTACAGAGGCTGATTCCGTTCGTGGCATTGTTTCTGTATTCATCTCGTTGAGGAAATTAAATTTAATCAATGGTGCTCCTTCGGCTCCGCAGTCCGTGCTTTCCAACTGGATGATCTTATCCAAAGCGTCCACTTTAAGACGATTCTCTCAAAGGCAAACCAGGATTTTTCTACAAATTGTCTGCATCTGTCTACCTCTTTCCATCAAACAAGGCAGTATGGTTGCATATTTTTAATTCTCTGAAATATCGCAAGTTTCCTTTACCAGACAGATTAGATGGAAGGTGGATAGTTTAGTTCTTGTCCATTAAGTCTGCAGAGTTCGTTGAATATTCCGCCGTGAGTCTCTGAGTCCTCGTTTGCGAAACTGTTCTTTGAAAGACTGTCCAAAATTCAGCCTGGGCAAACGGTCTTGGCGCTTTTGCAGTAACCTGCTGAACGCTTAATTCTCGCGCTTAAGTGTGAACAANCAAAATCGTGTTTTCTCCAAATCACTCTTTTCGAGCGCTGGTGCAGTTCTCCGATGCGTTTTCACTGCAAGTGATTGTTGGTCCCCTGAGTTTGGTATATCTGGTCTCCAAACTTTCGTTATACACTGGGCCTCACAATGCGTTCTTTTGTCCGTGACTGAGTAGGTTTTTCTCAAGGAGACGGATGCATTTTCTCGTAACAGAAATGCTTCGTGGTGTATTCAGAATCGGACATCACTTTGGTAGGAAAATGTGTTTAGATGTTTTAGAAGAGGTTCGCCCAGGAATTTTAATGGGAAACTCGGTTGACAAACCTCCCGTGTAGTTTACTATGTATGCTCAGTTTTTCTTTCATAGCTGAGACGGTAATGTAAAAAATTAAACGGACGGGGAGCCTTCGATACAGTCAATGTTTGGATTGAGTTGAAACGAGAACTAATGGCAAAAATTGGGTAAACACCAAAGGCGATCTCAAAGTAACTGAGTCTTTTTGGATACATCTTTTGATAAATAAGGTAAATGTAAATTGATTTTATCTGAAGTAGACGATGTGTTCCTTCCTGTTCATATTTTTGAAGTCTCCGTTTGCATGCGACGTTACGTCGTCATCTTTTCCTACAGGGTGCTGAACTGAACGCCAGAGATAATAAATCAATGACACCACTTCTGCTGGCTTGTTCCAAGGGTAGCGTCGAAGCGTCCAAGCACTTGGTCAGTATCGGCGCTGAGCTGACGTGTTGTGACGAGAACGGACGAAACTTGGTCATTTTGCTTTTGTTCAGTGGGGCAGGAGCGGCACGCGATATCGTTCCTGTTTTGATGAAAGTGAGACCCGACTATTCATGATTGTGTTAAACTGCCCCACAGCAAGGTTTCGGGAGAGTGAATTCATGAATAAAAGCATGACCTAATAATTTCAACATATAAACGACAATTAAAATAAAGTGAACTACTAATAATATATAAAATACAAAAAACGTGTGCCGCACTTATGAAAACCCTGTCTAGCTACACTAAAAATGATTCGAGATATCGCAGTATATTTTCATAAAGGAAACTCGGGGACTGTGCCTACCTGATGAGCCCCAAGAAGGGCGAAATCGCTCGTGGGCTGTCGAAGAGTTTTCAGCAACCTTGTGAGTAGTTTCCTTTATGAAAATATACTGCGATATCTCGAATATCGTGCCAACTGAATCATGAGGCGGCCTGTGTGCAGCACATTCAGCTGGAGGACATCATAAACGAGAGATTCAATTGAGTCTCCCGTGAAAACCAGGTTAAGGCTTATTTATTTAATTTAACGTATGATACATCAAGACAGATGAAACCAACATCCGGAGTGCTGCGGCAATCCTGTCCTAAACTCGAAGACATCCTGGAAACCGTATGCTCCCAGATTCTCATGGAATCGATTGACTGGTTAGGATATTTCAAGATCAGTATTGCCAAATCTTATGCAGAAGGTGGGTGGAAAAAACCAGACAAACCAAACAAGTTGGTTAACTGTCCTGTAAACGAATCATGCTGTGTCGTATTTGAAAATGGGATTAATGAAAATGTTTCTTTACTTTGACTTGTCTGTAGTACGACTATTTCATCGCACTAAAATTAGTAAAATATCTGCATAAAGGCCAAGTAACTAGTACCTTGCTGTCAAGATGTCCGTGCATTTTGTGGTGGAGTGATTGATGCAGCGGCCCTACCCTTCTACCATCTAGTGGGCTCAGGTGTCGTGCTGGGGATCCGAAACGGCCCCACACGAATCGTTTTGTATTATTCAGTTGGAGAGTGTTTTCTACCAAGAAAGAACCAATAGGTATTTAGACCTGTAGAACTTCTGGTGTGTGGCGGAAAATATGACTGAGATATGTTACTTTTCTGCGAAGGATCCACAAATATTCTGATGCAAGAAAGAATATTCAACCCACTATCAGGGGATTGCTGAATCCACCATCAGAGTTCTAAAGTAAGCCCATTCCGGATCTTCCACGTATGGATATTGGTGTTTTGCTCGTTCAATTCTAAGTTGCATAGTACTCAGTCGGTAGTCCACAGAAGGTAATGTGACTTGTACTTATTGTTTACTACAACTAAAATTATACTAGGAACACTGGCTTGCGATAAACTTTGAAGCTTAATCGGTCTGTTAGTAGACACTTCAGCCCGCTTTGTTAGACAGGCCTGGAATCGCATGCAACAAACATTTTTGGTGGGGTGGAAACACTGATGTCTGAACGACGAAACTTTAGCATTAACGAATGTTGAACCAAAGGGGGCGAGAAACAAGGGGAGCGCCACCCGAAGAAATAGATCAGAAAAGAAACAATTTTGGCAACTAGCACTGTTTCCGTATTGTGCATATAGCAATTGCTTCTTAGGCGATATATCCATCCAAAAAGTAACTGAAAGCAACTTTCTTAGCAATTGTTTGAGTTCTTGATCCTCCGCACTTGTAGAATTGCGTGGTAAGTCTCCTCGGAGAAGCACCCGAACAGCAGGAAAACCAACACCGTAGAAACATTTGTTAGTCCCATCAGTAGGCTTATCTTATTTCAATTGTCACAAGAAGGAAGACTGACCAAGTTCCACCCATCCATAAAAACCACGAGATAATTGGAGATCATTTTGACGCATTTCATCGTCTCTTCAACAGTCAATTTTACTTGGAACTTTTTTGCTTCCACAAAAGACAAGCAAGGTTGGTGAAAAAGGGTAGATTGCACGGGCGAAGTAAACGACATATCGGGAAACAATATCAAACAAAAGATGGTTTAGGCAAAGAAGTACTTCTCGAACTGAAGAAAGGGAGCTTAAAGAATCAAAATAGAAAGGGAAACGAACTTTTTAGGATTTTATCTAACTGATGTGACATTCTGTCCAATTTGTGATTAACTTTATAATGATGCAAAATTTTCGTTTCATTACATCTTAACCCAAACTTCTCTCCCTGTGTTTGATTAGACAGGGCAGCTCTCCGTTCTTTTCAATCAGCCAGATAGGTGGGGTTGTACGTTTATGCACATTGCTGCTCGACTTGGACTGCGTGTGGCGGTGCAAATAGGAGCGCAGTTTGGTGGGCATATCCTGGCCAAAGATAGTGAGCATAGCACGCCATTACACTCGGCAGCTCGTTTTGGTCGAATCCAAATCTGCCAGTATATGTTAGAAATGAATGAGGGTAAACGTGCCTTGTTTCTGGCTGACGATAAAGGACGTCTACCACTTCACCTGGCCGCACAGTATGGGAACAACCGGGTTGTGGAATTCCTCCTGGCCAATGGATGCCTTTATCGCAGGTAACAGACTACTTTATTTTTTGACGTATTTAACCGGTTGCAAACCCTTTTTTTACCCTTCTGTACATTGCAGAATTCGTAGTCATGAAAGGACAAGCTTTTGTCTTCTAAAACATGTTTGTGACACTAAAGGAAGCATCTGAACAGGTTTCAGGGAGCCAGCCTTTTTCTTGGTTCAGCCATGCTTATCATGGCTAATGACAGTCTGTTGAGTGTGCCAGCTTGCGCCCGGGTGTCCCGAAGAAGCAGCCAAGACTGTTCCATGGAGCAAATGATGAAGAAAGAAGGTTGACATGTTAGTAACTTTATGGCTGCCATGCGGCTGTCATGTGGTTCGCGCGAAATCAGTGCATAAATCATTTCCAAAACATACGACCAGTAGCTGCCCTTCGGCAGAATTTACAAATCAGCAATTTCTTTGTCCTCAATAGGAATACCCTAACTGCTTGAATACTCTGACCACGTTGAATGATCGTCACCAGCGTGGCGTAAACCAGAACTGTCGATCAGTTCGCCTGTTCTATATGATCATTTCGTGAGATTCCGGCGAACGCACACACAAAACTTCAAAATTCAATTACCGAAATCCTTAATACCATTGGTCATCTCTGCTTGTGTTTTGTTATTTATGATATACCGGTGTGAAGGCAGAATGGAATACAATTCAGTCAAAGGGAAGCAAAGTAGAATGGGAACCGGAATATACATTGTGGGCATAAAAAATTAGACAGAAGGGCCATGTTCCAAACTGCTGGTCTCTGGCTTATTGAATGAGCACGCCATAGGCTGAGATACGGTGAACACCAAGTCTTATTGCACAAGCACATTTGAAATGCGCATTGATTCATAACGTCCCTTCCCTATTGGTCAGCATTTCAATACGGTTCAAATAAACATGTACAATGTCGGTTTACGTCCATTTTAACTTAGCTCTCGTCTGGTGGTCAGTAGGCCATGGGTTCGATTCACTCTCTGCGTCTATCTGTTAGGTTGCATACTTCGACTATTTCGTTCGTTGTCTTTTACTAAATCGGAAAATGATACCTTCGATATACTTTGATTGAAGCGTTTTTGTGCCACTGGATGTATTATGATGCTTGCAAAGAATTACGCCATTCTGTTCGAAAGACCCTTAATCGTCTATGCTCCTGCCCGTAAGTGTTCGACTTAACTGTATTTAGAGGGCTGTCTAGCAGACCAGTTGTTTTAACTGGTTACTACTAGATGGGAAGCTCCAACCAATGTTAAATCTCGCGGTTTTTATGCTCCTACCGATCGTTGTTACCGCATGCTTACTTAGCTTCCCACTTGCCTCTCTACAGCTCTGCTCATGGAATTTCTTGGCTATTTGCAAAATTTCTGATTCGCTGAGATGATTTGTCAGGCCCTCCGAAACAGTCAGATGATATTATCTGTTATTTCCACCGAATTGTTGCAAAAGGCAAGGATTCGTTCTCTTTTCTCTCGGTAAAAAGCTTCGCAATCATGGATTTGTTTGGATTCTGTCGAACCAGATTCCCCGAAATCGTGGCTTTCTTGATTAAATCAGAGCCCTCTTTTGTTTTAGCTCAAACAGAAGCTTGCATGTAGTCTCGTAAAATGGGGTGTCCGTTTCCCCTGAGTAGACCCTGTGAGGTCTATGCGCTAACCACGTATAAGAACCAGTTTTTTATACCACCCAGCAATTGTTGGCCATCACATTACCAAAAACGCTCTCTTGATCACAAAATGTCCTATTGTTTGCATTTGTAAGGATTCATAATGATATTATGTTGAAGCTGTTATACTCTTCTTTTTTAGATGCCATGAAGGAAACACTCCTTTGCATTACGCCGCAATGAAAGGAAATGCAGACACCTGTGCCCTTCTACTGGCCATGAACCCAAGCATATTGAATGAAGTGAACTACACCGGAGTGAGTTATATGTAGTCTTGATTGTGAATTCGCTGTAATTCACAATCATACACCAGAAATGAACATGAAGATTTGACAAGTGAACCCATTCTGTAAGCACTTGAAATTTTAGGCAATCTCAGGGGTTTGCAGCAATCCTAATATTGATTCCTCTTTCAGACACTTGTCATATTTTTGCTGCATTTGTAACTGTCAACTGAAAACCAATATGACAACATTTTTAATGTTGGATTTATGTCTCAACTGATTAGTCAGTTATACAGGGGTCGTAGGAAGGATGACGCATGATCCAAATAGCGGCACTTGGTACACCGATCTAAATTCAGGCGGTAGACCCGTCTATTGGCGATCAGGAAGCGTACGAGTAGAAATACGAAACTGGCGTAATGCTTTGCTTGGTTGGCTCTCTCGCAAGTGTGCCCTCCCTTGGCCCAGTTCTTTACAGTGCCCACAATTACATTTGCTAAAACAACTCAACAAGTTGACCGATAATTTTGTCCCCTGATAGTTACACGAACCTTTGTCACTTAAAAAAGGTACAAGGTACACAGCTCTATCGGTCCAATATAAAGTAGACCAACGTCCATTACAAAAGCCGGAATGTATTTTTTGTTTTTATGCCTGATGACATTATGTATGTGAATAGATAGACGACGAGCTAGATGGTCGTACGACTTCTTAATCATTCAACCGGGATCAGTCTAGTTGGATAGTCTTTATGGGAAAATAAGCTCGTTGGCATAGCAAGAGACGGAGCCAGTACGAAAAAAGTCGTCGCGAAAGAAAATTCCCCGTTCAAAACCAATAACTGACATTGATACTGAGCCTTAAGTCTTGTCTCATGGGTACTTACATCTTTCTTTGTTGTGACTAGCTTGAACTAGCGTAAAAAGCTTGCGTTTCAGACGCTTAATACGAATTTCCCATGTACGTTGAACCAAATCAGACAACATTAATTTCACATTGTCGCACAGGACCCAGTGCATGCTGGGCAGAAGGCTTCAAGTGTACCAAAGATCTGCTCAGCTTTTAGAGGGTCACAAAAATGCTCCAGTCTGGTAGGGAGGGAACTGGAATACTAACCTCCTCATGAATTTTCAAAAAAAGGCTTTCTGACTGGTCAGTCAGCTTTTTCCCTTCGACTGCATAATTTCGGTCAGGGTTCTATAACACTTCATAGAAATACCACAAAACGTGTCAAACTAGGGTCAGCTCTGACAGTAGTCGTAAATTAATGTAACCCTTTAAGAAGTACCAAGCTTCACGCAACTTTTCACAGAGAATTTCGTGCGTTTTTCGAACATATGAAAGAGACAGTACTAATGTTAGACCATCTGCGAAAGTAGATTATAAACATAACACGCCATCAATTTCTACTGGACCTGATGCATGATAATCGGGCTGGATACAAACTCTACTGGAACGACATTCAAGTAATGACCCGAACCGGGTTGAAAAATGTGATTTCGAAGAGGCTCGGCACTCTACTGAAACACCTCAAAACCCACTGAACCCATCAACCGTTAGGGAAAAACATTACAAAATCCAAAACTGCAGAGAAATTAGGCATGAGAATTACACAAGAATCGGGCCCTTCAAAATATACAGGGTTAATCAGCCTAAATGGGATACATACTCGACGAGTAAATCGAAGAGACAGGTCAAAACAAGAAATAACGGCAAACTGGTGGGGCACGGCATCTGCTCAATCAGCTGAGTGCAAAGAATTGCCCAGCACAAGAACAGACATCTCATCAGAAAGGGAATTGAAACCAACGAATCAAAGGGGAGAAAATCACAACACAATACAGGCGGGGAGCCCGGCCAGTCAAACGAAAGAAGTAATACAAATTAAATTAGAAATTATGTTGAAACCAAATCGGATTCAAGAGAAAAAGAACACAGTATAGCGCGAACTCGAAGCTGACCAATTTAAGCAACAGAGGAGAAACTCAACCAGAAATTTTTTAGCCACGTAATCTAGAACTAAAAAGACCTCCGTGCAAAGAAATTTTCAAGCAAGCTGACTGGTCACACCGATACCCGACGATAAATGTTTTGAAAACTACAAACGCGCGCAAGTAAGGAGAAAGTACTTACCTAGCCGCTCGCTGTTTGTGCCCTCAATTGCTAGCGAAGCACTGCCAAGCCAGTTGTCAACCTCGTACGTCAGATTTACAGCCATTCGATAAGGAAACGGTGGTTCACACATGACGTTTTGTGGCAAATAAGTTTTTATTCCGTCAAATTACTAGGTGGATAAACAGGCTAAATAAGAGAAAGCCACATTTACTACCATACGTTTCAGTACTTAGCGGGTAGCTGGTTCCCAATAGCGTCACCATACTCTGTATATATGCCAAGCCATGCCCCCCCCCATGGCGCACGATTTTGTCAGTGTCTATGAGTGCTTCAGTCGGTACAGTTCATAAACGTCTGCGTCTGAATAAGACTATAATGTGTATTTAAATATGATGACAAAATCGCAAGAATGCGATGAATGCCGAAGAGAAATTGTTAATTTTTGCGCAGCGTGCTGTTTGCAAATATAAAATTAACTTTCCAATATCCAAAGCGGTAAACAGTACCGTTAAAGCACACCTTTTTATTCAGTGCGCGTGAAATAAATATTTTTGGAGAATTCGTATGTCGGTTTCCTTCCTCTGCTTTTTTTACGGTTGAACTCAAAATCATTTGAAGTAGCACCCAGCAAGCATCAGTCTTAAACCGCAGACCGCATACGCGCCAATCGCACTTGCTCTTTCAGGCCAACATCGAGGAACACAGTGTCTTTAAAGTCATCTCTGATCTGTGCTACAACGCTTTTGTCCAAGTCAATGTATACAGTTTGATTGCACGTCACAAAGACATGACTACCGTCGTTATACACAGATTGAACTAAGAGCCATGGCCCGTTTGGCTTCAATAGGCTGATCGCAGTTTTCCTTAGGAATGCTGTGAAGTTAATGGCGCGAAGAACACTTAGTTACAGTATGTAAACACATTCAGTCTCCAGTTTCATCTGTTTGTTGTTTGTTATCGTTGTGAAAACGAATTAATGAACCACTACATTTTGGTCTGCTTTTTTTAACTCTTCCTCTAAGTCGGTCCTCTCGGTTTGAAAGAGCTCCAAATTCTCTATCCAGCAGCAAACCAAGTTGGCACTTGAGACGTGATATCTTCAGCCTAACTTTTAGAATTTCTTGCGTACTTAAGCAACGGAGTAGTCCACGTATGTATCGCTTTTGGGGTGCAATCTTTCACCTGCAGAAAGTAACATATTAGGGTGAGATCTGGTTCACATGGTGAGTGAGCAAACACCGGGTATTTTCGACCCCAGCCTTATATGTCGATTTCAAAATTCAGTCTGTGGTCAAAAGTAGACGCGTAGCTATCCTAGTTTTGGGTCTTCAGTAAGACGTGATATTTCAGCCTAACTATTAGAATTTCTTGCGTACTTAAGCAACGGAGTAGTCCGCGTATGTATCGCTTTTGGGGTGCAATCTTTCACCTGCAGAAAGTAACATATTAGGGTGAGATCTGGTTCACATGGTGAGTGAGCAAACACCGGGTATTTTCGACCCCAGCCTTATATGTCGATTTCAAAATTCAGTCTGTGGTCAAAAGTAGACGCGTAGCTATCCTAGTTTTGGGTCTTCAGTAATCAGATGTTCTCAATAATTCCGCACTTGGGAGGCTAAACCAGTTTTTCATCTCATTACCACAAAAGTGTGCCCATCTTACGAGAAGTGAGTACCGTCAACTGGTTACGTTCGTCACTTTGTCACTTCGCATAATCTTCACCGTAGATTTTTGAATGGATTTATTTGCGAACACTCCACTAATGCTACTAAAGTGTTGTAACATATCGGCCTTTTGAATGCAAGTCTTTGAGTGATAAGCGCTACAAACAAACTACCCACACCCTTCTCTCATCATCAGGCTACTGCACTGCACTTCGCTGCAATGCATGCGAACGCAGATGTGATCAACTATCTACTAACTGCAGGAGCTGATATTATTCCTGATCACAATGGATTGTATTTTAGCTCTTTGGCGTTCCAACCAGGAAGCTATTTCGCCTCGAGAACCATTGCATTGCACAAACGGTAAGTCGCTTTCTTTATGTGCGACAAATGAATGGGCCTCAACAAATCTATTAGGCCTACCGGTCACAGACCATGTTTTTGTTTAATCCTGGGCATCAGGCAATGGTGTTGACAGGAAATAACCCAGAGGAATCAGCTCCTTTCCTCATCCGGATGTTTAATTTTTCACTGTTTGGATCACAGTAGGCCCAAAAGAAGGCTTAGCCTCGGAGTCCTTCAATATGAACACACCAATTCATTAAATCCTAAAAATTGAATGAGAAACTAAATAATAAACCTGAATATATATATATATATATATATGGCCGAACCTTCCTGCTTGTTCAGGGTTTGTGCGTTCTACTGTGCTTACAGCGCATTATGAACTTGCATCTTTACGGTACTCACAGGGGACGATGGCCTCTTCGTCTTCGCACAGAGATCTAAGCAGGAGAGTGGTGTCTTTGGACAGTTGTAATAGTTGGTAGCTCCTGCCTTCAGGTCAGCGTTGTTTAAGGGTAAACAAATTGTGCTTCTTGATCAAGATTTCGTTATGTAAGGGTGACCGATCTATGCCGAAAGGCCGATAAGCGCTGTAGACTCCGTGAGTGAATAATAGGCAGTGCTACATCCTTTCTAAGTACGACACAACCACATTGCTGATAAGCCGCTCGTGGTCGAAAGGTTAAGTGTTCAAACCACTGGCCGGGAGGTTGAAATTTTGAGACTCTGAAGTTCGAGGGATGCGCAGTTCTGATGATTTCCATTAAGGGTGAAAAAGCTGTGCAGAGCCTCCACTTTTCAGCATAGGTTAGCTTCACTCAAAGGACGAAATTTCTATTGAAATTCCATAATCTCCTGACACAACCAATGCTGTGCTTCTGTTTATCTACCTCACTGTCTATCCATCTAAGCAATATAT